ATCCTAGTAAATCATCCTGTTGTGTAAAGTAATGGCAGTGAGCTTCAATCAACCTGGCCATTGCACCATTCACTGGTGAGTTATCTGCTGTAATACCGTAAAATTCTATCAGTGATTTCAAAAAAGTCTTGAGGATTTGTAAAAAAAAACTATCAGCAATGTTTTTTCCTGTATGAGCACCAGCAATTTCCATCAAATCTAATACAATACTAAATGGCTTGAAGGCTTCATCAAGGAAGTGTGCTGTCACACCAAATATCAAGAGCTGATTTGGTCAAGTCAAGTCCACCCAAAATCACAGGTGAGATTGATGTGAGGGTTGATACTTTCTCAAAGCTGATAATGATCTTGGCAGTGGTAGTGATGGTGCAGATCACCAATCAGTTTGTCTGATGGTTGTCAAATCCAACTAGCATATCAGCAGCCAAAGGGGATGGTAAATCCGGACATGATTCATGGTAAGCTGATGAGTCAGCCAAAAAAAAAAAAAAAAAAAAAAAAAAAAAAAAAAATGGTAAGCTCTTCAAGTACAAGGAACCAAGCATGAGATTCTTGGACTGCAAGAGCGTTCAAGATTCATTCGGATTTCTGATGGGCTGTGTCAGTGATACATACAGAGTAAAAGTTTAGGAATATATAGTAAATGCAAAAAAAAAAAAAAAACTCACCTCAGCAGTCATCTGAGCATCTTGAACCCAGTCAGCCCTTGGGATCACACATGCTGTGCAGGTGGTTGAGATGATGACTGAGTGAGCAACTTCCTCCACACTGTGACAGGGTGGCTAGACAAAGGTGGTCTGTTCCCTTCTTTTTGAGTTGGCACTGGTGTCAGACCTGAAGTTGGTGGGTCAAAGTTTGGTCACCTGTCTTGACTGGAACCCTGACTACAATAGGCTTGTAGTGTTCCCAAACCCAAGATGACTTGCCGCTTGCAAGTTTGCAAGTCAGGAGCTCATTGACTTTTTGAGGATTGGCGCAGTTGGAAGGGATATCAGGTGCCATGACAATTGTTGATGCAGAGAGTTTGTTCAAAGGTGTTGAACCCAAGAAGATGTGGGGGTGGGGTCTGGTTCAGTGTCTCCAAGAACAGAAGGGGGGGGGGTTGGGCAATTGAGTGCCCTTTGCTAGAAGAGTAGCTTGAAGAGAAGACAGAAGGGGAAGAAGGTGGGCAGGTTCTCAAGGGAGAAAGGAGTGATAAGTCCAGATGGGTGGAGGTCGGGTGCAAGATGTTTGGTGGCATAGTGATACTTGGTGGGGCTGATGACTATCAAAGGGAAGCCGGATGCACAAAGCACATGCATTCCTTGCATAAAGTCACATCAAAAGGATCTTCAAGGTATAAATTGGATGTATCCTCCAGTTAGGGCAGGCCCGAGGCGCTCCGTGGCTGCCCCATCATAACGATGCCAGCCTGTGGCAGGCTCGGTTTAAGGGGGCCAGGGCCTGCTCTATGGTCCCATTAGGGGGCCTGGGTGCGAGCCTTATTTGGAGGGGAGGGTGATGGGTGATGGTGAGGGGGAACCTGAAGCAGAACTTCAAGTACCCAATTTCGGGTATTGGCTCAAAAGTGGGTTTAAAAACCTCACACACTTTTTTTTTTTTTCTTTTCCTGGACATTGTTTTATGTAAATCCAGTAGTACATTTGAAAGAATTCCAGAAGAGAAAGGTATATAAAGTGATAATAAATATATATATATATATATAAATCTTGAGATAGGGGAGGGGAGGGAAGAAGAATTGATCACTTTTTTTTTTTTTTTTTTTTTTTTAAAAAAAAAAA